AGGTTCCCTCCCCCCTGTTTATTTAAACCTTTGCTTAAACCAAGAAAGAGAAGGTTTTACTTCGCTATTTTGCCAATAAAAACGGCGAATTTTTGCGGGGTGGAAAGGTCCTTTTTCCTTCGCCTCAGTTGAATAACCTATCCGTGTCCTGCTATTAGTAAATTAAACGCTGTTAAACGTTTTTCAAAGTCAGTGGCACGTAACTCGAATTTGCTATAGCAATCGATACTTGTTGTATATTTCTCATTTCGCTCTAAACTTCACCTCCCGTGAAAGATATTCCATCATTTTACTCTATTATCTATGATTTAAGGCCATATCTAATTCGTCATCATGAACTAGATTTTTTGTCTTCCTTATTATGGTAATCAGGTTGACCTTTTAGTCGAGTTTGTTACAACTCTGACTGTTTTGTTACCGGACTGTTTGTTTTTATTAATCACATTTTTTAGAATAAGGTTATTTGAATTAATCCAAGGGGTTTTATCCACTTTGGATCCTTGATTTGTATAATGTAATTAATCAGGAATTTATAAGCTCTTTCGAGTTTATATCCAGTATCTCCCTGTAAAGTGGCAATAGATAGACTATTTTCACTTTATTTCGGATAATAATAATAGACTTTCGTCTTTATGTATTTTCTCAGATATGAGATTTTATCCTTAATATCTTGTTACTTCTAGATAATTTCCTCGTTTTGAAGTAACAAGAATATTTTGTTAATTCTTCTTCAAGTACTTTCTTGTATCTTGAATAGTAATTTAACGTTACTGTTTCCAGTAAATTTGGGTATCAAATCTTCTTTGAATGAAGTCCTGGCGGGGAAGCCATGTAGAGAATCATGTTGTGTTTTTTCTACCGAATCATTCATAGTAATAGATTCTTTATTTATTTCCAAGGACATTCTTAATAAGTTGATATTGATCCGGTGTATTAAAGTATATAATATACACATGGGAATATAATTAACATGACAAGTGTCAATTAAGATCTTGTCATTTCTTATATAAAGTGTTGGAAAAGTTTTAACGTCAGAAATAACACTTTCGTGTAAAGTAACATTTCTTTATCCTATATGAATAATGTCGTAATACGTATATATCACGTGTTACCTCATAATTCTGACAATATGGGTTTGATTTTCTTATGTAATGAATTAGTAATGAAATACTGAGTAATTACGAATAAACTGGCAACAGCTCATGGTTGATATGAAAAGCATACCTTCCCTAATTCCAGGACTTTGGAGAGAATTAAATTAAATTAATAGCTAAAGGATAAGCTTGGAATTGGATTTTTCTGTGCAATTAATATCTTTTTAATTGTAAAACTATCAAGGTTTACTTAGAAGAATTAATTACCAGCATAGTAATTCTTATAATCCGCTGTATAAAAATTTATTAAATTCCATGAAGATATGGAAGTTTGAGGAGTGTTCGAAATTATAATAATGACATTGAAAGTACACACGCAGCAAGCAAGCAAAGGTGAAAAATATCATTCGGTTCTCTCCAACTTAAAAGACCTAGCTGTGTGGAAACGACTAGTGATATTGATTGATTGAACTCATATATTTTGGATAGAAAATGTGACAACATAAATGTCATTCAATTTTATGGTGTCAACGTTGGAGCAATGAAAATTGGAACAACTTCTTGACTGATATATAAGTGAAAGAACATTTTAAAAGGAAAGCAAATGGTTAGCACAAAAATATAACAGATTGGCCGAAATGAAATGAATCATGGTGTAATCAATATTGGGGCAAATTTTGAATATTAAATTTGCTATTTAAGAAGTCAGAAAGAGATTAAAAAACTTGGGATTGTTAATGCTAAAAGTAAAATTTGTCAGAACTGCAAAATAAATTCAATGAACTATCCATTTAAACAATTAGAATTCAGTAAATTTGAAAAAGTGGCCGGATTATCGTAGATTTAAGTTACCTTTGATTCAATTAAACAGCATTTGGACTTTTATCACAAATATGTATTGGATACAATGCACAGTGCTCTTAAGGAATGCTAACTGGTAACTTATATGAGTAAAGGTATAATATTTTTATTTAACATATTGTACTCAAAAAATTAAATATGGTATTCGAATCGTACAAAAATGGAATAACCGGAAGTAATGGTTAACAATCAGGAACTTCCTTTCAAAAACTTAAAATCCTTATATATAAGCTAGGAAAATAGTTTGCTTAAATTGTAAACTGTGATTAACTCTTAACATTTGGGGGTAAACCAGCCATAAAAATAAATTTCAAGAGTTTATCATTCATATTTGGTGTACATATTTTTCTCATAATTTCAACCAATTAAGTGGTTGTTTGGCCGAGCGGTCTAAGGCGCCTGATTCAAGTATTAAATTACTTAACTACTAAGTAGGAATACTCAGGTATCGTAAGATGCAAGAGTTCGAATCTCTTAGCAACCATTAATTTTTTCGTTGATTTTAAAATTAAAATCAGTTATTTATTTTTTGCTTTTAGGTCTGGATAAAAGCCGAAACCTAAAATGATATCTTTCCCAACCACGCCCATCTCTCCGACATTGATTACATATACAAGCAAGATGTATCAAATGACATCAAGAACGCATTAAATCAATAATTACGTATATGAATGGACTTTTCCTCTAGATAACAAAACAAACATTACGTATATATGTATATTCCCATTTTTTACTACTACTTTTATTACTATTTTTGCTATTATTTCCGTCAGCAATCGTCTCTTTTAACACAAAACACCTCTTTCTATCTATCTCTCTACCACTCTATCTCTCTCTCTCTATTCTAGTGTTCCTGTTCTTCACCGAACTCTTTTATGGTTTCTCTTCTCCTTGTGATCGATCCGTTTGGACCGTAGTTTCAGTTTCAGTTTCAATTTTTTTTTTGGTCTCTCTCTCTCTTTTCATTTTGGTTCGATTCGAACTCGAAAAAGTTTAAAAATTAACAACATGAAATTTGACAAAAGTTCGATTCGAGTTGAGTTGAGTTTGGTGAAACTAATGTCTGCCTCATTTCCTTGATCTTTTGAATTTTTTTTTTTTTCGAATATTAATATTAATAATAATATCACGATAACGACATCATGACGTATTGCAGCAGGATGACAATTAAGCATGATTAAATTTTACAATCACAAGAAATTATAAATATTTTTACTTTTTATTGTTCTTGTTGTTGTAAAGTAAAGTAAAGTAAAGTAAAGTTAAGTTCGAAATTCTAAGTAAGGAATTGAAAAAGCATCTCTACCAAGATATAGTATATCCTCTATACATACATTTGTATATATTATATATACTCAAATAATTCATCTTAATTACAATATTAAACAGCTATCTTCAGTTGTTGTTTCTGGATCATAATCATAATCCGGGTACTAACATTACATAGGTAGGGAAGAGCAATATACAAGTGAATTTCTATTTTCTGTATACCTTTTAGTTCTGTTAACAATTAAAGAATTGGTAATATACGTGAATATTTCAGTTTATTATATTGCATTTGATTTGTTTCCTTCTGTGTTGAGTTGGGTTGAGTTGAGCTGAATTTGAATTGGACTGGTTTTGCCGTGTTTTTCTTATTATTTGGTATTTTGTTTGGGTTTGAAAGGATTTCAATTTGTGGATGAGATTTCGTTTCATTACAAAGTTTAATTATCAGTGGATTAAATAAAAAAAAAATTCTTACAAGTTTTTGTGATCTTATTTATTATTTTTTGAATCAAAGTTCAACAAGAAAATTTTAATTATAATGTTTAAAATAAAAAATTTCTTCAATAGAAAGAAACCTCAGCAGAAAGAGGATAATGAACAACGATTTGAAGAGATGAATCACAGTGAACAGTTGACAGCAGACTTGGATCAAGGGATTGAACATTTCAATCCTTCGATAATAGTAGATGAAAATAATAGTAATGAAATAACGTTAAATTTATCAGATGATGATGACGATTCTGATGATTCTGATGTTAATGAATCTGAAACTTATGATAACAGTGATGATCAATATCGTATAGAAAGGAATGATGAGTTTAATTCAAAGTCAAGTTACGAGTTAAGTGATTCAAATGGTAATGAATCTCTTTCAAGCTTATCTAACGCAGACTTTTCTGATCATACAAATAGCATGTCTCAATTAAAGATTAACGAATTGAAAAATGCAAGGATACCAAATAACAACAATAACAATGATGATGTGCCTGAAAACATTTTCATCGAACAATCAGAATTAGTAGGTTATTTGTTAATCAATGAAATTGGTTCAGGTGCATTTTCAAAAGTTTTCAGAGCCATACCTGATAAAAATAATAAATCAACATCATTTGTTGCAAAAATTCATAAAGAAGTGGCTGTAAAAGTTATTAAAAAACAAGATTTATCCTTGATTGATGAAAATAAGATTCAGAAGAAAAAATCTAGTGAAACTAAAAGTTCTTCAAGACAGCAGGTTTTAAAAGAAGTTAAAATTCATAAAATGGTTTCACCTGGTTGTGATCAAATAGTTGCATTTGTAGATTTCCAAGAAACAAGAAATTATTATTATATTATTCAAGAACTAATGAATGGTGGTGAAATTTTTGGGGAAATTGTAAGGTTAACTTATTTTAGTGAAGATCTTTCAAGGCATGTAATTAAACAATTAGCATTAGCTGTAAAGCATTTACATAGTATGGGGGTTGTACATCGTGATATTAAACCAGAGAATCTACTTTTTGAAGCTATAGAACATATTCCATCCAAAAATACTGTTTTAAGGAAATCAGATGACTCAGAAACTAAAAGAGATGAAGGTGTATTCAGACCTGGCATAGGAGGTGGTGGTATTGGTGCAGTAAAATTAGTTGATTTCGGTTTGTCAAAACAGATATTCTCTACTAATACTCAAACACCTTGTGGTACAGTAGGTTATACAGCACCAGAAGTAGTAAAAGATGAGAGGTATTCAATGAAGGTTGATATGTGGGGGATTGGTTGCGTACTTTATACAATTTTATGTGGATTTCCACCATTCTACGATGAAAAGATTAATATTCTAACCGAAAAGATTGCAAGAGGTGAATACACATTTTTAAGACCTTGGTGGGATGAAATTAGTGACGGTGCTAAAAATGCAGTCTCTAAATTATTGGAAGTTGATCCGGAATACCGCTATGATATAGATGAACTTTTGAATGATCCATGGTTGAATAATTACGATTGTTTGAAAGATGTCGATGCTAAAGAAGAAGAGGATATTATAATTAATAATAAGGTAAAGTATGATAAAGGTTTAAGCAAAAAAAAGAATCCTATCTTTCAAAAAGATGCATCTTTGCTATATTCACCAGCAGCTGTTGCCATGCGCGATGCATTTGATATAAGTAATGCAGTTCAAAGAATTGAGGAAGATAAGATGAACATAACTAATAATTCATCTGCTTTAGACAAGTTGGACGAATATATTGAAGAAGAAATGTATGATGGTAATTTGTCATTGGGTGAATTGAATTCAATTGAAAAGGGGATGTTCCAATTAAAGTTAAACTCTTCAACAATAATCAAAAGAAGAAGGGATAAAAATGTACCTGTTCCAAGGGTGAATTCACCAATTACTCAGGAGGTAATTGTAGAGTCACCTGCAGAGTGATGGATATACTTGAAATAGATACATGATTTATTTATCATTTTTGATTGCAAAAAGACGAGGGTATAATTCAGTCCCTCAACTAACAGCCTGCATATTGTAAATAATTATACATTTGAGCGTGTCACTAAAGAAAAAATATAAAAAGATATAAAAAAAATGAACTCAAGTAATTTGGAAAATCCAAAAAAAGAGGAGTAGAAAGAAACGAACCAATACTTTTATGATTACCACAGCATCATGGTCGCTTTGCATTATATCAACAGTATACTTAAAGAGAAGCACAGTTACTAAATTTTAAATAAATACGGCCATATACCTGATAATAATAATATTAATGTGGACATAAAATGGCATTACGCTCGATCACCATGTTATCAAAACATGTAAAGAAACCAAACGATAACTATAAACTACATAGATGTAATATAATATGTGTTTTTACAGTAAGTAAAGATTCTAATTTCTTGGGAAATTGTAGTAACAACAGTAACTAACTCGAAAAATTAATTGAATAGAAATGCTAGAAAGTGATGGCATTTTTAATTTACAAGAGAAAAGCAAAAAAAATAAGAAAAAGAACTGTATAACTAATTGAATCATAATTCCAACTCCAAGATTATGAAAGATTAAATTTACTTTTCAGTTCTGTGAATTTTGTGGAGATTTAGCGGTATCATATGCAGTACTAAGAACTGTATCTCAATAATGAGATTCGAAATCTAAACAATGAAGGAAGAAAGCTTTACTGAGTTTACGTTAATTTTTTTTTTAAAAAAAATGTCAATAAATAAATATAAGAATTATGATGGATTAATTATTCAAGTAGACAAAATTAACAAAATATTTAGAATCGAGAATAGATTAAAGAGAGCTTCTTCTGGTTACAAAAAAAAACGTGAGATCTTTCCTTTTTTTCTTGATTTTCTAATGTATTTCACTTGACTAAATAAAAAAAAGCTCTCAACTTATAATTATAATCTTAACTGATGAATTGGACTCATCATAGCGATATGAGTCTCTCAAAACATTTGCGGAAGCGCCTATTATTGATCTATAAATCAGGAAGATGTGAAATTAACTATTCAATCATCACTATCTAAATCTTAAAATTTACACATCGTACGCTGTGATACTAGTTTCTTGTCAAGAATATTTCTGTCAAAACCCGACCGACAAGTTGTTCGATTCGAAGTTTCTTCTTTTACAGTTCGGCATCTAGTCCAGTATATCTTTTTAAGATTCTTCTCCTTTGGATATACTGCAAACCAAATTACAAAAATACAAAAAGAAACGACGAGCACCGGATTATTTCGGTCAGGAAATTAAAAAAGAAACGTGAGCCGCTATGGATCATGATATACGTTGTAGTGCTTTACCATTTTTCTTCCTCCTTTTCTCAATGGCACCCTGCCAGAACCTGTTCTGAGATGGTGCTGCTACAAATGAAAAACCGTGAACCAGTTTTTTTTTTCATTCGGCTTACCGGGTTGCACTTCTGCATCTGTTTCTCAACTTCAACTTTTCTTTTTCACTGGTTCTGAAAAAGCAGCTAGAGACGAGTGCTGTCCACGTGTGCGTCGAGCTCTAAGGTACAAGTTAAAAAGAAAGAATTGACAACGACATGCAGACAAAGAACCGCACAACTGTACCAAGTGGGCAACATTAATACTAGCATCAACTACAAAAAAAGACACTTCAAAAAGAAAAAAAACAAGCAGTGGGTTGTCTTTTTTTGATAAGATTCGACTACGCAATTTTCTGACTTGGAGTCCAAAATGTTAAATTTGCTTTTTTCTTTTTCCATACCTTCAATCTCACATTTTGATCGATTGAATATCATCGAGTACACCATAGTGCAACACAAGAGATGAGAGTAAAATAAGTAAAAAAAAAACACTAGATGGATAGGATAGTGGCATCTATCTGGTAGTATAGAGAGGACTAATGATATCATGATGCTATTTATCGATATGCATCTATGTCGGAAAGATGTATTTGCGATGCTCATCGAATAAAACCAAGCTAGAAGACGACGAAAGAAGGAAAACATTATACTCAAAGGAAAAATAAGAAAAAAAATTCTACTAATCTAAGATATAGTACTATCTGCTACAGGGTTGTTCTGCTTATTATTTCCTTTTGGCTTATATTGCTTTTTAGCCAAAAGAAAATTTTTCTTTTATATTATTATTATTATTATCATTACTATTCTTTCTAAAAAGAAGAAAAAATTTTTCAACTAAAAACCTATTCGATGACATTTATAAGTGAAAAATTTTTCGTTAATTCTTTAATACTCAATATCATAATTTTTTTTTGGCTATTTAAAAATTTTTCACTTCTTATTAAACTTTTCATTTTACTTGTTATTTATATATTAAACTTTTACGTTTCGATTTTATATTTGTCTTGAACGTTATTTAAATTTTAACTCTTGATTTATCTCTTTCATTTAAGTTCATTTTAAAAGACATCGAGTAACGAATCCGCCAGTTAAACGGTATATAATGTCTGATTCTGCGCAATCCTTAAAGGTTCTAAAGGAGCTTTTCGAGAAGTTAACTGTTGCCACTGCTGACAACAGAGCTGAAATTTCTACCGAAGTTTCAAGTTTCTTGAACGGTAACATCATTGAACATGATATTCCAGAAACTTTTTTCAACGAAATCTACAAGGCTTTAAAGGATAAGAAGACCGCCGCTAACGCTTTGTCTGCTGTTGTTCACATTGCTAACGCTGCTAACTTGTCTCCTTCTGTCGAACCATACGTTGTCGCTGCTGTTCCATTAGTTTGTGAAAAGGCTGGTGACAAAGACAAGGATATCCAAAAATTAGCTTCTGATGCTTTGTTGGCTATCGCTAACGCCATTAACCCTGTCGCTGTTAAGGCTTTGTTGCCACACTTCAACACCGCCTTGTCTAACACCAACAAATGGCAAGAAAAGGTTGCTGTCTTGGCTGCTATCTCCTCTTTGGTTGATGCTGCTAAGTCTCAAGTTGCTTTGAGAATGCCTGAATTGATCCCAGTTTTGTCTGAAGCTATGTGGGATACCAAGAAGGAAGTCAAGGAAGCTGCCACTGCTACCATCACCAAGGCTACCGAAACCGTCGACAACAAGGATATTGAACGTTTCATTCCAAAGTTGATCGAATGTATCGCCAACCCAAACGATGTTCCAGAAACCGTTCACTTGTTAGGTGCTACTACTTTCGTTGCTGAAGTTACTCCAGCTACTTTGTCCATCATGGTCCCATTGTTGGCTAGAGGTTTAGCTGAAAGAGAAACTTCTATCAAGCGTAAGGCTGCTGTCATTATTGACAACATGTGTAAGTTGGTCGAAGATCCACAAGTTGTTGCTCCTTTCTTAAACAAATTGTTACCAGGTTTGAAGAACAACTTCGCTACCATTGCTGACCCAGAAGCTCGTGAAGTTACTTTGAGAGGTTTGAAGACCTTGAAGAGAGTCGGTAACGTTGGTGAAGATGACAAATTACCAGAAGTTTCCCACGCTGGTGATGTCGAAACCACTTTAGGTGTCATCAACGAATTGTTGAAGGGTCAAGAAGTTGCTCCAAGATTCAAGATCGTCGTCGAATATGTTGCCGCTTTAGGTGCTGATTTGATCGATGAAAGAGTTATTGACCAACAAGCTTGGTTCACTCACATCACTCCATACATGACCGTTTTCTTGCACGAAAAAACTGCTAAGGACATCTTAGATGACTTCAGAAAGATTGCTGTCGACAACATTCCAGTTGGTCCAAACTTCGATGATGAAGAAGATGAAGGTGAAGACTTATGTAACTGTGAATTCTCTTTGGCTTATGGTGCTAAGATCTTGTTGAACAAGACTCAATTAAGATTGAAGAGAGGTGTCAGATACGGTTTATGTGGTCCAAATGGTGCTGGTAAATCTACTTTGATGAGAGCTATTGCTAATGGTCAAGTTGATGGTTTCCCAACCCAAGAAGAATGTAGAACCGTTTACGTCGAACACGATATTGATGGTACTCATGCTGACACTCCAGTCGTTGACTTCGTTTTCGAAGGTAACGTTGGTACTAAAGAAGTTATCGTTGCTAAGTTGACCGAATTCGGTTTCAGCGATGAAATGATCAACATGCCAATCTCTGCTTTGTCTGGTGGTTGGAAGATGAAATTGGCTTTGGCTAGAGCCGTTTTGAAGAACGCTGATATCTTATTGTTAGATGAACCAACTAACCATTTGGATACTGTTAACGTCGCTTGGTTGGTCAACTACTTGAACACTTGTGGTATCACTTCCATTAACATTTCCCACGACTCCGGTTTCTTGGACAACGTCTGTCAATACATTATCAACTACGAAGGTCTAAAATTGAGAAAATACAAGGGTAACATGACTGAATTCGTCAAGAAGTGCCCAGCTGCTCAATCTTACTTCGAATTAAGTGCCTCTGATTTGGAATTCAGATTCCCAGAACCAGGTTACTTAGAAGGTGTTAAGACCAAGCAAAAGGCTATTGTCAAGGTTTCTAACATGACCTTCCAATACCCAGGTACCACTAAACCACAAATCGCTGACATTAATTTCCAATGTTCTTTGTCTTCAAGAATTGCTGTTATTGGTCCAAATGGTGCTGGTAAGTCTACCTTGATTAACGTTTTGACCGGTGAATTGTTACCAACTGAAGGTGAAGTTTACACCCACGAAAATTGTCGTATCGCTTACATTAAGCAACACGCTTTCGCTCATATTGAATCCCACTTGGACAAGACTCCATCCGAATATATCCAATGGAGATTCCAAACTGGTGAAGATAGAGAAACCATGGACAGAGCTAACAGACAAATTAACGAAAACGATGCTGAAGCTATGAACAAGATCTTCAAGATTGAAGGTACTCCAAGAAGAATCGCTGGTATCCACGCTAGAAGAAAGTTCAAGAACACTTACGAATACGAATGTTCTTTCTTGTTAGGTGAAAACATCGGTATGAAATCTGAAAGATGGGTCCCAATGATGTCTGTTGACAACGCTTGGTTGCCAAGAGGTGAATTAGTCGAATCCCACTCTAAGATGGTTGCTGAAGTTGATATGAAGGAAGCTTTGGCTTCTGGTCAATTCCGTCCATTAACCAGAAAGGAAATCGAAGAGCACTGTGCCATGTTGGGTTTGGAAGCTGAATTAGTTTCCCACTCCAGAATCAGAGGTTTGTCTGGTGGTCAAAAGGTTAAGTTAGTCTTGGCTGCTTGTTCATGGCAAAGACCTCACTTGATCGTCTTAGATGAACCAACCAACTATTTGGATAGAGACTCTCTAGGTGCTTTGTCTAAGGCTTTGAAGGCTTTTGAAGGTGGTGTTATTATCATTACTCACTCTGCTGAATTCACCAAAGATTTGACTGACGAAGTCTGGGCCGTCAAGGACGGTATGATGACCCCATCTGGTCACAACTGGGTCACTGGTCAAGGTGCTGGTCCAAGAATCGAAAAGAAGGAAGATGAAGGTGACAAATTCGATGCTATGGGTAACAAGATTGCCGGTGCTAAGAAGAAGTCTAAGTTGTCTTCTGCTGAATTAAGAAAGAAGAAGAAGGAAAGAATGAAGAAGAAGAAGGAATTAGGTGATGCTTACGTTTCTTCCGATGAAGACTTCTAAATTTAGCCTCATTTAAATTATCCATATGTTAAAGATACATCAGCCGTATAAGTTAATATAGATTTGTATTTTTTTCTGTATATTGTTTTTATCACTTCATATATTTAATATAAGCTTCTCTTTTAAAAATATTTTCAAATTATCATATTCTTTCACTTTATATCTATCTAAAAAGAAGAGAATATAGTATTTTATTTATCTATTTTGTAAGGGTTCCATAGATTTTCTAGTTTGATGCGAAGACTTTCAAGATGTCACAAAAGATTTTAAGAAGTATAAAATATGAATATGCTACAATGATAGATTAAAGCACCATATCACATTGTAAAATGGTTAACTAGATCAGTTCGTATTGGTAATGAAGAAAGTAGCACTAGTATTTTATATTTTACGATCACTGGTATGCGTTTTAGGACACTTGGATCATCCATATGAAGTAGAATGCCCCAACTATCCTCTTATCAGAGAGGCTAAAGTATGTATCACAGTCAGGATCCGATATGGCATATATATAATTTATTTAACATTTCTATTGACGCATTACTAACTAACAAATTCTGATATTATTAGAATGAACTATGTTGGGAAGAGAAGCTTTATTTGCAAGAAAACTTGAAACATACTTCAAAGCATTTAACTCAGTTTTTGAAGTCTCTAAATCATTCAATGTTTAATGAAAGAATTATACATTATATTGAAAGAGATAGACCTAGAATAGGTTTAGCCATCTCAGGGGGAGGATATCGGTCAATGTTGACTGGTACAGGTTTCTTGCAGGAGATGGAAAACATTGGGTTATACAATTGCTTAAATTATGTTTCAGGCTTATCTGGTGGGAGTTGGGTCTTAATGGATCTGGTACTACATAATTTTGAAGTCAAAAATCTCATAAAAGATTGGAACTTAAACGACAGCCTTTTAAGAGGAATACCTGAGATCGATATAAAGCAAAGAGATATTATATCAGGAATTAATCAATCTGAAATTTTTGATGGAATACGTGCAGTAAAGAGAGACTATGTGGAATATGAACCTGACTTTAATATTCTAAAAAATGGTAAGAAATTTTCACCTTTATTAAAAGTTAAAGAACTTATCTTACAGTCTATTAGAGGACGAGGAAAACTTACAAATACCCCCCAGGATAAAAATACTTCGATAATTGATTCATTTAAAAATGTTCAACAGATTGTAAAATTCTACATAGAATTACACCATAGTGTTCGTCCTAAAAGGGTTCAAGGATTTCAAATATCTTTTACTGACTACTGGGGGAAAGCCTTGGGAAAGCGACTCAAAGGTAATATTCTAACTTCGAAGCCAAGTAGTTCATTTTCTGATATGGCTAGAAATTCTCCATCTTTTATGAAATTCCAGGCTCCCATACCTGTTTTCATTGCAAATTGTAGGAATGGGCTATTAAAAAATGTAATATTTGAGTTCACTCCTTTCGAATTTGGATCTTGGGAATCTATGCTAAGACTGTTCGTTAAGATTCCATATCTAGGTTCTGATATAGTAGGAGGAGAAAGTCTAAAATGTTCCAAAGGATACGACGATCTTGGATACATAACTGCAACATCGTCATCTGTTTTCAATAACGTATTACTGTATATATGGGGGCAAGTATCTAAATCATCAAAGGAAACAATTAAAGCAATGAAGATAATAATGAACACAATTGGTTTAACAGCAGAGAATCAAATTCCTAAAAATGAGCAAAGACAGCCTTTAGAGACATATTATGCACTTTATCAGAACAATCCCTTTTATAAATTTCCAAACATTAATAATGAACTAACCGACAAGGACTATTTGTATTTAGTCGATGGTGGTGAAGACGGTGAAAATATTCCTTTGAGGACACTGTTAATACCAGAACGTCAATTGGATGTTGCATTCATAATAGATTCAAGTTCTGATTTGAATAATTTCGCCAATGGAACTAAATTAAAAAATGTGCTTAAGCAATTAAATAAGGAACATGAGGTCTACGAACCGCTTGGCCCTGAATTTAAATTAACGGATCATCCTGTAGCGATAGGCTGCGAAACAAAATACACAAAAGATGGGAAAACATTACCTATATTGATTTATAATACAAATAAAGATATGGTTTATCCTTCGAACACATCTACATTCAAGATAACCTATAGTGAAGAAGAAGCATTGGGAATGATCAATAATGGTAGACAAATATTTACTGACAACAATAATCCAAACCACAATAAATGTTTGGGGTGTCTGATAATAAAGAGAACCTTAGATAGAAACAAAGGAAATATAGAAATACCAATAGAATGTTTGGACTGTTATGAACAATATTGCATTTCATAAAAATAAATTTAAACGACTAAGATATAAAACAAGAAGAATAGTTTCTACTTAAATATACATTATTATTAACACACATATACATATATATTATTCTAAGTCAACAAATAAGTTAAACTAGTCTAGTGTTGTATTTATTATAATTAAACCTAGTTAACTGCTGTCGTCAATATCTGTTTTCTGATTTACTGACGCCAGTTTTACTGACTGATATACACATTACCCGGATATTGATTTCGAAAAGTGAAATTTGTCATTAAAAATAGAATCGAATTTTGGGAAAAGGTACGTTATAAAAGAGAATTGAAGGAAATTAGAAGACCATCAGTTATGATTTGATCTGATTTGATTCAAATCGATTATAAGTTATATGTTACTGTCTTTATTTTAACGATCCAATAGTGGCTCAAGGGACTTTATAATTAAGGAGAACAGGTTCATATAGAGATGAAATTGTCTAGTTGTTTTTTATTTAGTTTAATTTTGCCAAGTCAATATATTTTTACTTCAGCAGAAGCAGCAAATGCTGGATCAACTGTGAATGTTGAAGTAGAGAGACCACCTGAAGGGTTATCTTGGGAAGAATGGCATATGCAACATGAACATCAAATGAACAAGTATGATCCTGAGACGTTTTTTGCTCTTCATGATACCAAGAAAAAGGGATATTTTGATGATTCTGATATTTTGGGTTTATATGGTTTAAATAGAGGTGAAGTTGTTGGTAATGGTGATGGTATGGGTGATCATGATAATTCAGAGAGTATTGATGAAGAATTAGCCAAGAGAGTAGTTAAATTTATTAAGAAGTTGATAGATGTTAACGATGATTCTAAAATTACAAAAGAAGAGTATTTATCGTTTGCCAAGAGAGGTAATAAGTTACCCGATTTAGGTGTTGGTGTTGGACATCATGCCGATTTTGAATTGGAGTATGAATTACACCATTGGAATAAATACCATAAAGATAGTGATCCAGACGTTAAAAACGTTCATAAAGCCGATATTGAGCATGAATTATTGCATCATATGCATGAAATCGAACATGAAGAGAAGGTTCAAAGAGGTTCATCAAGAGGAACTGTCATTACCGATGATGAACTAGAATCAAGAATTGACTTGAAAAATATTCCAAATAAATTTAAAAACGGTTTCTTCTAGTGGAGGATGAGATGAAACACTGATAACAAAGGAAAATAATTCGTATTCGTTCTCTTATGTTATTATTCCCGCTGTCCCCCTTCTATTGTGAACAATTTAAGAATAGTAATTATAATTATAATAATAATATATGTATAAATATATCTATATCCATAGTTAAGTAATGACAAAACAAAATCTAAAATTTAATAAACTTATTTTAATTATAAGAACACAACATACAACTTCCTGAGGCTCATTCTTGAATGCTCATTCTTTCCTATTCCTTCTTTTGTTAATGCTGTCTTTTAACCAAAATTCGTCATTGCATTGATCTATCATGCATATTTCATTCGCGATATCGATTAAATCTCAAATGTAACTTTAGTTCACACACGACTACAATGAAGATATATGAACCAACTAGAACTTAACAACTGTTATTTAAAGGTTATTACTCTAACATATTATCATTTTTAACTGCGGTAGCTTGATATTTCTTAGTATATCAACGATAGTAGGGGGAAACGTATTTTAGTAGAGATGACTAAAGCTGTTATATTCACAGATTTTGATGGTACTGTTACTTGGCAAGATTCCAATGATCATTTAGCTGACAACTATGGTCTAGGTAAGGAGCCAAGATTGAAGTTATTTGAAGGTATTATCGATGGTAAGAAAACTTTCAGAGAAGCTTTTGATATTATGATTGAATCTATTAAGAAACCTTTACCAGAATGTATGAAAATTCTAGAAGAGAGTATTCAATTGGATCCAGGTTTTAAAGATACTTTCAACTGGGCTCAAGAGAATAATGTTCCTATTATTGTTGTCTCTAGTGGTATGAGACCAATTATCAAGGATTTATTAACAAAATTACTTGGTGAAGAACATATTGATAAACTTGATATAGTTGCTAATGATGTTAAGATTGATGCAGATGGTGAATGGCACGTAGTTTTCAGAGATGAATCTGGCTTTGGTCATGACAAATCCAGAACCATTGACGAATATAAGAAGAAATTCGAATCTGAGTTGAAGCCAGGTGAAGAAAGAGCCACTTATTTCTACTGTGGTGATGGTGTTTCTGATTTAAGTGCTGCTAAAGAGTGTGATTTATTATTTGCTAAAAGAGGTAAAGATTTAGTAACATACTGTAAGAAACAAAACGTTCCATTCCATGAATTTGATACTTATAGTGATATTTTGACAGCAATGAAGCAAGTATTGAATGGTGAGAAAACTGTCAAAGAATTAATGGAAAATTAATAAATGAGAGTATACCTAACTTTATTTATCATTTATAGAGATATAACAAAAGAACTTTAAACAACTTGTTTTTTCTTATTACTATTAATTAGTATTTTCTGTTGTTCTTCTATGGTTATCGTTGTAGTCGTTGTTGTATGTGTGAGTGTGGGTGTGTGTTTTTATTTTTGGAATTCTAACTTAAAGAAACAGATCGAAAAAATCATCTGGATCAATATAAGACAGCTCTAACGTAATCAAATACCTCTTGTTCTTAAACCCTAGTTTCCGAACTGTCATGTCATTCCAAGGTTTAAAATGCCCACTTAGTGCTATCTCGATTTGAGATGAGATCCAGCTTCGTGTATAGCGACTCGTCTTACCGTTGCCAATATCAAAAAAATTTTTCACTTTTGAGATGAGATGAAATTTATTTTATCAAAGTACTTTAACTAGACTATAAAGAAGTGATGATATGGTTTGATTAAACTTGTAATCTCTAGTTGTAAGTATTTATAAACCAGTAAACACAATCTGTACGTGAGCAAATGTCTACTGATTACGTTATTAAACCAGAATCTGTTGAGCCATCTTCAGACACTAGTGAATGGCCATTACTATTGAAAAATTATGATAAACTATTAGTTAGAAGTGGTCATTATACTCCAATTCCAGCTGGTGCTTCTCCATTGAAGAGAGATTTGAAATCTTATGTTAGTTCTGGTGTTATTAACTTGGATAAACCATCTAATCCTTCTTCCCATGAAGTTGTTGCTTGGATCAAACGTATTTTACGTTGTGAAAAGACCGGTCATTCTGGTACTTTAGATCCAAAGGTTACCGGTTGTTTGATTGTTTGTGTTGATAGAGCCACTAGATTAGTCAAGTCCCAACAAGGTGCTGGTAAAGAGTATGTGTGTATTGTTAGATTACATGATGCTTTAAAGGACGAAAAAGATTTGGGTCGTTCTTTAGAAAACTTAACTGGTGCTTTATTCCAAAGACCACCATTGATCTCTGCTGTTAAGCGTCAATTACGTGTTCGTACTATCTATGACTCTAACTTGATTGAATTTGACAATAAGAGAAACTTGGGTGTCTTCTGGGCTTCTTGTGAAGCTGGTACTTATATGCGTACTTTATGTGTTCATTTAGGTATGTTATTAGGTGTCGGTGGTCATATGCAAGAATTGCGTCGTGTTAGATCTGGTGCCTTGGGTGAAAACGACAACATGGTCACTTTGCATGATGTTATGGATGCTCAATGGGTTTACGATAACACCAGAGATGAATCTTACTTGAGAAAAATTATTCAACCATTAGAAACTTTATTGGTTGGTTACAAAAGAATTGTTGTCAAGGATTCTGCCGTCAACGCTGTATGTTACGGTGCTAAATTGATGATTCCAGGTTTATTACGTTACGAAGAAGGTATTGAATTATACGATGAAGTCGTCTTAATTACCACCAAGGGTGAAGCTATTGCCGTCGCTATTGCTCAAATGTCTACCGTAGATTTAGCTACTTGTGACCACGGTGTTGTCGCTAAGGTCAAGAGATGTATCATGGAAAGAGATTTATACCCAAGAAGATGGGGTTTGGGTCCAATTGCTCAAAAGAAGAAGCAAATGAAGGCCGATGGTAAATTAGATAAATACGGTCGTGTTAATGAAAACACACCATCTGAGTGGAAGAAAGAATACGTTCCATTAGACAATGCTGAACCAACTGCCGCTCCTTTGATCAAAGAAGTTGAAGTTGAAGAAAAGACTGTCGAAGAAAAGACTATCGAAAAATCAGAAGAAAAGGAAGAAAAGGAAGATAAGAAGGAAAAGAAGGAAAAGAAGGACAAGAAGGACAAGAAAGAGAAGAAGGAAAAGAAAGAAAAGAAAGAAAAGAAGAGAAAGTCTGAGGATGATGGTGAATCTGAAAAGAAGAAGAAGAAGAAGAAATCTGAATGAATTTATTAAAATTTAATATCACACTTAAATCATTTGTATAGTAATAAGTATTATTTAGTTTAAATCGTCAATAGAAGGACAATATTGTCTGTTTTAATATGATAAAATAAATATTTTCGAAAAGAGAAGAATCTTTAATTGTATTAAAAAAAATATTTAGCTCTATAAATCTTAAGTGTAAAAATGCAAAAATATTCCTTATAATTGTTTCTAAGTTTATTATAAACTCTATTTGGATATTTGTATCACAAAAATGTAAAACAGCAAAATAATATACAATATGAATAAGAAGATTCCTTCTTAATCGCAGTGATGCAAGTTTAAAATTCAATTGATGCCTAAAAACCTAAATATGTTTTCTGATAACCCTACTAAAAGTTATATTTTTCTATTATTTTTGTTTTGGCTCAGGATGAGTTTTACCATATGCTTTACATTGATCTTTAGCATGGTTGACAACACATTTTAGAGTCTTTGAAACAATGAACTTTGATTGATCGTTGACAGTGAAGTCTTCGTTGATTGATTTTTGCGAATAAATACCCAATATGAAGTTCAATAGGCCCTTTAGTGTTATAGTTCTTGTTAGTCTATCAGCTTCACTTACGGTAATAGTCATGTAATCTTCGAATTCCTTTGTTTTCGGATCTTGACCTAATATGTCCCAAAATGCAATTGAATTTGGACTCATGATATTGTTATTTTGACAGTATTTACCCTTTAGATCCCATGATATTACTTCGAAATCGAAATCTAATACTGGTACAATCAATTCCTGGTGATAAACACCTTCACTTTCGACTAAAACACTTAGCATAGGCCTATAAAAGTGAGTGCCGCAACCACAATTTTTGGCATGTAATTTTGGGAAACCCACCCAAATCTGTTTATTCTTAAGTGCTGGCAATTCACTTGGTAATTTAACGAATTGTGTTCCACCTCTCATACCATCATATTTTGCATCCTTTGGTAAGTCTAATGTAGAGGCTTTAAAGACCAACTCACAAAGACCATCATCTAGATTACACTTGATAATTTCGATTGGTAAGAAATTATAAATGAAATGAATGAAACCTCTTGATATTTTAATATCTGCGGTTAAATCGTTATTTGAGAAGAATGGGGTCCAATTTTTTTCGGTCTTCTTTAAAGAAAAGTTTTTAGCTTTAAATTTTAGAAGGGTGTCATACTTTCTGTGGGGCCAAAAAGCGAACATTCTTCTTTTCCCTTCTACATCATCTAGTTGGTTAAAGAAAACTAAAGGTTCATCAGTTTGCTTTAAATTAATATTTATAGAATTTTGTTTTAAGATGACTCTTGGATCTTCTTGACCTTTGACATCACCATTTAAATCAGCAGGAATATTGAAAATGGTTGGATAAGTGATATAATATTTTTCCAAGACGGCATTAATTCTTTCTTGAATTTTAATTTCATTATTTGTGTTTTCTGCCTGACATTTATCGTAGGCTATTTTATTTTTAATTGAATTACAATCGATTTCACCGAATTCTTTCCTCAAATTGTTGATTTGTTGATTCATATCGTTTGGTATCAATACGTCATTGTAAGGGATTTTTTTACCTATGATTTCATTCCAGTCCTTATCGAAAGCTTGACCTCTTAGCATTGATACTTTTGGGTAAGATCTTTCACCACGTTGGGAATAAATAATTCTTGTATAAACGACGTAACATTGTTGATCTTCTAACCAAACTGCAGAGCCACCGAATCTAAACCATCTTTTATTAATAATGTCTTCTTCGGACCATCTGTCTTCATCTTTACTTTTGATTGCCTTTGAGTAAGGTATTGATTTTTTTAGTAGATTTCTACGTAGATTCAATAGATCATCTTGTAAAATTTTTGAATTATTATTAATTTCGAAATGATTAGTATATTTCAAACTGTCACAGTTTACTAAATTTTCATAACCTACATGATAATCATATTCTGATATGAAATCACCCTTTTCTACGTTTGGATTTTTTTTAATACCATTATTTTTATTATCTTTTAAATATTCGTTGTAGACGCTATTAAAATCTAAATTTGAAACATAACCTGTGACGTTGTACTTGGCGTATAATTTTTTATCAGTTATATCATTTGAAATTGGTAAAGTTGTAAATTTTTTGAATTTCATTACATTAGTTAAATCTACATTTGGGTAATCCTTTTTGAATTCCAATTTGTTCAAATTGTTTAGGATTGAATAATAATTAAATTTTGCATCTTCGATGATATTATCTCTATTTGGATGGATTGAGAATAATGAAATTGTTAAAAAGATGAAAAATAAAGTTATAGAGAATATTTTTTTCCTTAAATCCAATCTTTTAAATAGGAAGATTAAATTGATCAATTGTCTCTTAAAATAGTAATGAAGGATGGATATGAAGTTTAAAAATCTTGTAAAAGGGCTTTTAATTGTTGTTATGAAAGTATTTCTAATATTATTTTTAGCGGGATATGAAGATGAAGTGGTTGAAGAAGAGGATGAGGATGAGGATGAAGGGACGTCATCCATTTCAAATTTGTCCATCTTCGATAGGATGCAGATGTGTGTCGCGAGTAGTTTTGGATTGGATTGAATTAGTTTGGTTTAGCAAGGGATATGGTAAGAAAGATTATAGGAGCGTGTATTTTTAAATAAGACAATGAGATTGAGATTGAAATTGAAATTGAAATTGTGATCGAGAGGATGGAGAGGTAGAAGGATAAGTATGCAAGTATATATAATTATATGGAATGCAAGATATAAAAAAAATAAAAGACAGATGGAAATAAAAAGCAGAAGATGAATGAGAGATGAGATTACGGCAGATGGGGAGAAGGAACCAAGTCAGAGGAAAGAAAAAAGAAAAAAACAAAAAGACAAAAAAAGCAAAAAAAAAAAAAAAAAAAAGCAAAAGAGAGCCAACGATCAAGCTGAGAGAGAGAGAGAAAGAGAGAAAGAGAGAGAGTATTGTGTTTCGAGAATAGGTAATTTGCAGGCTTATTGTTCGTGCTGTAGTGGGTCCAGTTGTGGTTAAAGAGTGGTCGAAGACGGGAAGAATTCGATAAGCATTTCGAGATTGGTCTGAAATGAGACATATAAAAACATGCTAATGCTGCATAGCAGAGTGCGATGAGACATCTTCAAGGGTAATTCTTGACAAATTCGAGAGAAAACGGAAAAGAGAGCGGAAGAACCAGAATTGGAACCAGAATTGGAACTCGGACTGGAACTGGAACCGGTGAGCAGTAGCGTACGATAAAACTCACCGTGAATGAAATTAAGAAAAGAAATCTAATCTGGACAAGAGACAGAGAGACGGAGGGACGGAGGGACAGAGAAAAATGTGTTCTGCAGCTAGTTTTTCCATCGCAATTATTATTCTGGTCAGAGTACGTGTAAGTTACTTGTTTTACGCACTATCACCACAAACACACAAACATTGACATCAAATTACCGAATGAGTAAAGAAGAAGAAGGGTTCTCTGGGATAATGTTGCAGTGCCGATAACGTTGCGTACGGCACGGGGGAGGAAAGGGGAGGGGTAGAACATAGAAAAATGATTTTCATTTGATAATCCATCCTACACAGTATTCTCAAAATTACCCTATTGAGTTGAATTTCATTTCATTTCATTTTATGTTATTTTATGTTACTTCCACACTTAGAGGAAAGGGTATTCTGTAGTTGTGCGGTGTCCGCCCAAACCCTCGCACTACGACTTTCTTGTTGTTTTCTCCGTTTTAGGAAGTGCCATAAGTCAGCCCAAATCGGGCAAAAAGCAGATGCAGAAAGAAAGAAAGAAAGAAATTATCCAACAGGTTTAGGTTGACAACCAATGCGGTAATGTCCAACAGTAACGACAACACCGACACCGATGGGAAGACGTCTCTGGTTCTGGTTCTAGTTGTAGTCCTACGATGGGAGAGTACGAGTGTACTTTGAGTGTACTGTCACTGTGATTTTAACACGTACTAGCACAGTCACTCTCAGAGCTACTCCCAGAGCCACGAGAAATGACAAAACGACAACTGTCGCCATTTGCGTCAAAGATACATCTGGATCACGTTTCTGTCTGGATGTTGTGTTGTGTTCCAGAACCAACCCAGATCTATCGCTATCGCTATCTGTGTCTCGGTTTTGTACAACGAAAGTTCGTATGTACATATAAACTTTCATTCTGCTGGGTTTGTCCTCATGAAACAATAATGCGTGTATGTGTATGTGTATGTGTGATGTCTTTTCTTTACAGATAATAAAGAACAACTGTAGAGCACTGACTGGTTCTGGCTAGATTTACTAACAGCAACCCGCAAACAGCAAATTTAAAGACCTACGGGATTGCGATTGCGATTGCGATTGCGATTGGGACCTTGGTTGACCTGGCTGTCTCTTTCAGGTGTAAGAGGAAACATCACTGTAGACAGGGATTTACCCGATATACACAATTTCAACTGTTTTTCTCGTTTTTCTCTTTTTCTCTTTTTCTCTTTTTCTCTTTTTCTCTTTTTCATGTATGTTTTTTTTAATCTGCTCCTTTCACCAGCTGGCTCTCTACCCTGCTCTTCTCTACTCAATCGGTTGCTACTACATTTGTGAAATCTGCGCATAACAACAACAACAACAAAAACGACAACACAAATCGTCTTTAAACTGCCGTTGCTCAACGCGAAGCTACCACAGAGAGAGACTCTTACTCATCGGATATCTTTTGGGCGAAGATAGATAGATTGCACTTGCACTTGCACTTGCACTTGCACTTGCACTTGTGCTGGACAGCACACCGTGTAACTAACTGGACAGTTCAACACTCAATATTCAACATCCATCTCTCGCTCACACTGCGCTACTTCACTTGATCGATCAAGGTACTATATTAAGAACAATCAGGTCTTGTTGGTGTAGTGCAGCGACAGTGCTAGTGAGACTAATAATTGCAGTTTTTCAGAAATAAAATACCTCTTCTTCCTCCGCCTCCTTTACTCTTTATTTTCAACATTCATGTAATCCAACAACTACGTTATAACTGCTTTTGTGATAGTTCCTATCTGTTTGTTTTGTGTTGTTTTCTCCAAAGAACACCAACCCAACTCTGCTTTGTATGGTGATGCCACGCTCTATCTCTGTCCTCCTCCTGTAATAAATAAAAATAGGTGTACACACTCTTCTCTCTGGGGCCTCAATCTATACTCTTACTTGTTTGTGTATCATAAAGTTCACCAATCACCTGTCTTGATCTTGAAGGGATATCAGATTTATATATCGGTTCCCTGCATTCTACTGACTCCTTGAGAACCCACTTCAACGAGTTGCGCTGGTTGTAAATTCCCTAATTGAAACAAACTATAGGAATATGGTACATCTGTCTGTCGGCTGAGCTCAGCTATTCAACTCAACTCAACTCAACTCCAACTCCAACTCCAACTGTACAATACATTCGGAACACAAAACACTTGTCTAAGAGTATGTATGCTATATTGTATTGTATTGAATTGAATTATTTTGTTTTGTTTTGTCTTGTCTTGTTGTTTGTATTTCTTTTCTTTTTTCTTCTTCCTCCATTCCATTTCCTTTCACTATAAGCATCCACCCCTCACATGTTTACAATAACTCGCACAGATCTGTCGTGCGATTCCTCTTCCAATTGATCAATAAGTTAGCCGCCCATTCTTCTTTCCATTTTCTTCTGCTTCTTCTCCTCTCACCCTCCTCTCCCGTACAAAAATCTCAGTTACACTGAAATTATTCAGCTTTTTTTGTTTTTGAAAACAAAAAAAGAAAAGAGACAAATATTATTGTTACCCTGTTTTGCAGTTACCCGCACTATCCTCTTTTTGCTCAAATTGTATCACGTGTGAATGTGTTTTATCATTTTTAGTTGGCAAATATTACCCTGATCCTACTGTCACGTGCCACTCTAGTTTTACTTTTTGTTGTTCCTCTTTTCTTCTCTTTTTCCTCTCCCTCCGAATTTGCTTCCACCGGAACAAGAAAAAATGTATTGAAATTTTAGACTATAAACCTAACTGCATCCAATTAATAAGGTAGTAAAAATTATAATAGCAACCTAGAATAGCTTAAGTAATTATACTCAATAATGAAAAAATTTCTGTGACTCTGAATATTACTAGATATTGCATTTAAATTTATCTATTATCAATTTATTACCAACATTATTCCCATCCCCCGCCCCACTATCCCCTCTCTACCAGAACAGTTTAAAACAAAACAAATATAGATCATATATTTTATAAAAATTCATCATGTCAGTTATATTGGTGTCAGCAGGTTATGACCATACAATACGTTTCTGGGAAGCATTAACTGGCGTCTGTTCAAGAACAATACAACATTCAGATTCTCAAGTAAATAGGCTAACGATCACCAATGATAAAAAATTATTAGCTGCGGCTGGTCATCAAAACGTTAAATTATACGATATAAATACAACTAATCCAAACCCTGTGGCGTCTTTCGAAGGTCACAGAGGTAATGTCACCTCTTTGTCTTTCCAAAATGATAATAGATGGATGGTAACCTCATCTGAAGACGGTACCATAAAAGTGTGGGATGTAAGATCCCCTTCAGTCCCAAGAACATATAAACATAACGCTCCCGTTAACGAAGTAGCAATACATCCAAATCAAGGGGAACTGATTTCTTGCGATAGAGATGGTAATATTAGAATTTGGGATCTGGGTGAAAACCAATGTACTCATCAATTAACTCCAGAAGATGATACTCCTGTACAGTCTTTATCTCTGGCAACAGATGGTTCAATGCTTGTAGCCGCAAATAGTAAAGGTAATTGTTACGTTTGGGAAATGCCAAATAGAACAGACGCCTCAAATTTAAAGCCAGTAACGAAATTTAGGGCTCATGATGCATATATTACACGGATTTTACTTTCTTCAGATGTAAAATTTTTGGCAACCTGTTCAGCAGATCACACAGCAAGGATTTGGTCAATTGATGATAATTTCAACCTTCACACAACTTTAGATGGCCATCAACGTTGGGTATGGGACTGTGCATTCTCTGCTGATTCCGCATATTTGATCACAGCATCTTCAGATCACTATGTTAGACTATGGGACTTATCAACACGAGAAATTGTAAGACAATATTCTGGACATCATAAAGGTGCTGTATGTGTAGCACTGAATGATGTTTAATATTTAATGTACTTCATATTATTAACACAAATATATGTATGTATTTATATAAAATTTATTCTATTTGCATCTACGCATGACGCCAAAACATTTTACATTATACTACATAATTATTTAATTACTTAATTATACATCATATAATTTCATTCACTCTCTTTTACCATAGGAAATATCTAGATCGCAACCACCATAGTTGTAATTGTTTAATCTATCAACACATACTTGCGCATCATCGACATTTTCGTATTCGACAATAGCTACACCAGTTGGGTTACCCTTTTGGTCAAATTTCAATTCAGCATTCTTCAATTTACCTATCGTTTCAAATAAATCAAATAAATCACTTTTAGCTGTAGAAAATGGTAAATTACTACAGTAAATTAATTCATTCTTTTCACCACCACCAACTACACCATCTGTAAATTGATCAGAGGTACCGGCATTTTCGTCATTTATATCATTACCATTGTCATTTATTTCAATATCTTCAGAGATTGGCATTTCTTCATCTTGGTTATTGGAACGACCTTCTCTCACCTCTAATACTCTGCCTTCAAGTTCATATCCATTATACATGCTAATTGCTCTTTCCATATCTTCTTGAGATCCTAATATAACAGTACCAAAACCTCTAGAGTATCCATTACGGTCTAACTCGACATCAGCTCTAATAACTGAACCACATTCCTTGAACATATCTTTCAAAGCTTGCCAGTTTATAGAGTATGGCAAATTAGCAATGAAGACTTCGTATCCTATATGACTATGTAATGAACCATCGTTTCCTAAAGTCCTTCTTTCTCTTCTTTCTCTTGGAGGTTCACTTTCATGAGAAGCTTCTGGAGGTGGATTGTCCTGTCTAACAAAAATTTGACGGTCTAATAAATAGGAACCATCATATTGACTAATTGCTTCGTTGACATCATCTGCGTTGGTGAATTCTACTGTACCCATACCTCTGTGATGGCCTCTGGATGTAATAATATCAGCACGAACAACTTCACCAATAGTAGAAAAATGATCTCTTAAATCTTCAGGAGTACAATCATAGGTTAGATTTCCTACGAAAACGCTATTAGCATAATTTCTGTTTACTTTTTCTTCGTATGTGCTATCCAAATCTCTGTCAAGGATTGGACCGTAATCACCTCTTGAACGGCCAAACCCTCTACCTCCTCCTCCTCTACCTCTACCCATATCTCTTGGGCCTGGTCCCCTTCTTCTTCCATCATTATATCTATTAGGATAGCTACCTCCATAACCGCCACCACGTCTCATACCGTAGTCTCTGCTACCACCGCGGTAGTCGCCACGACGGTCACCGTATCTCCCACGGCCATCATTTCTTGGACGGTTGAAATCTCTTCTACCATAGCCTCTTTCTTGGCGGTTAGGAGATCTCGATCTGCTACGTCTATCACTCTAAATTTTAAAGTAGCAATTTGAAAAAAGACTCAAATTTTTTATATAACATATTAGTAAAAAAAAGAACTCCAAAACGGTGAAATTAAAGCAATTCAATCTAGCAACAACATAGTGTTTATCTTCACGAAAAATTAAAACATTGATAATCTTATGATAATATTTTCTTTAGAATTATTTATCTTAACGGGAATAAGGTTTAGCCAATTAATAGGAAGAAAAGATGGAAGGACCCAAATTTAAATTGAAGAAATCAGCAAATACAACAATGTACCAAATTATTGAGTAGTTCAGATGTATTATTTTCCAGTCTATCAAAGTGAATAAAAAAATAAAAAATAAAAATGAAGAAGAAGTAGTAGAAAACTAGGAATAAATTAAAAAATAAAACGACTAAGTTGCTAAAAGATATTTTAGCTTGAATTTAATCTATCAAGTGCAAATGAACTTGACAGATGAAAAGGACAATAAATTTAACAAAAATATTTTCAAAAACATACATATTCAGAATCTCTCTCCATATTTGATCTTAATTCTAAGGATCTTGATGAATTATTAGTATTAGAATTCTTTATTGGATCTTATTCGAACGATGAGGAATTGGAAAGAATCCAGTAATTAAAACCAAATAAAAGAATGAAAAAAATGAAAAAAATGAGAATATAATATAATAATGACAAAATTATCTTTAAACAAAGCTTTGCAAAGATAGAATCGACTAAACCTGATTGGAAAAAAGGTTAAACTGTCATTAATATTATAAAAGGTTTCCCAATACTTTTTTAATGGTTATTAAATTCAATTTCAATTGCACATATAAATTCATGGTATTGAATAATTTTTTTTTCCTTTCTTTCTTTCTTTCTTGTCACACACATTCCATTTTCTTTGACAAAAACTTTGACGAGACAAAGGAAGAGAAGTTGCAAATAAGTGGACATTTCCACCAGACACACCCGTAGAACCATACAATCTGGAAGGAAAGGTAAAATGGAAGGAGACTTAAAAAAAAAAAAAAAAAATATGTTATAGTTGTATCATTATTGACGAATCTTGATTTTTAGCAAATGAGCTTAAGTATTATTGATGATCGATTATAACAACGAAACGATTCTAACAGGAGGAACAGTAATACTGGATGGTATAAAAGGCATAACCAGCGATGCCAAAAGAGTGCTGGTTACATTTCAATATTTAAGTTCATTGTGAGATGAATCCAAAGTTGGACAATGTTGTCGAAAAGAGAACATTTTTTTAATTTCAGCGGCTAAAGCAGCCTAGCTGAGCTCCATATTTGTGGTGTGTAGTGCTTAAAAGCAAAGTTAAACTTGAACAACTACTATGACATTGCTAGAACCAACCGAGAGTGCATTAACCTTTTCTTTATATATATATATATATATACATATATATCTATATCTTGGTTGTACAAGATATAATGTCTCTATATATGTATTTTTCCTTTGTTTATCTAATTTATGTACTTGTTCTTGTTCTTGTTCTTGTGTTTGTACTTATCCTTATATATATATATATATAAATCAAAAATGTCTGTCTATCTCATATCGATACGCGGGGGGGACGATAATCTTGAAAAACTGAAAAACTGAAAAACAGAGCTTGCCTGTCTGTAAACCTGCCATTTTTACACATTTTGTACGAACACACGTGACAGTTTGTTTGATGGTTTTTGACAACTGCTATGTTGTCTGGTCATGTGACCACAGATCCCCTGTTCTACTCTCTGCTCTGTTCTAATATATATAGGCTGCTAAACCATAAAAAGAAAAGCAAGAAATTACCACACTGAAAAAAAGTTTCAACCACCAAATTTTTGATTTTTTCATTTTTTGATAGAAGAAGAAATCCAACTTTATCAGATTAATATTATATCTATCTATCTATCTATCTATCTATCTATCTATCTATCATACATTTGCTATACTATACTATAAAACGAACTTTATAGCCAGTAGTTATAGCAAAGGTTAACTTATTTTCCTCGTTGAACAGATAAGTTTAGATCAACAATTGGTATACGGGTTACGTCTAGTTGAACTTTGGTTTGCAATCCCATTTTTAGTTTCAATCTTATAGCTGGTCTCTCTTTTAACTGTTACCGTTTTTCTTTTCCCATCTATATTATCATATATTCTCTCTATTCTGCTAACTCATTTTAGCTGCTTTCCAATTGTTCCTATTATTAATATATTTTGTGATCTGATCATTTTTTGAAAGGTAAAAATAAAAATTCGAAACTAAATTAAATTAAAATATACCAAATAATGTTGCTACTAGATAATTTAAAATCTAGTCTGGTTAAAAAAAATGCTTGTAGTATTTTAACTCAAGTGCGTAATTCTACAAAAAGAGCTTCAGGTTCAAGAACTAACATGAAAGATTCTCCTGGTAAAAGATTGGGTCCAAAAAAATATGATGGTCAAGAGGTTAAAGTTGGTCAAATCATCATGAGACAAAGAGGTACTAAATTCTTCCCAGGTGAAAATGTAGGTATTGGTAAAGATCATACTATATTCGCAAAAGAACATGGTGTTGTCCGTTACTATTTAGATCCTTTCCACCCTGGTCGTAAATTTATTGGTGTCTCTTTGAAACGTGAATTGCCTCTACCAACTCCTCATTTTAACCCAAGAGTTAGAAGATTTGGTCATAGATTAATTACAGACACTCAAGAATTGAAAATTGAAGAAGAAAATATCCCTAGAAAACAAAGACTAGTCAAAGATCAAATTATAAAAGAATTGAATGAAAGAGAATCGGCAAGAGATGCTAAAAAAATGGAGCATAAAAAAGTTATCGAACAATTGAAATTAGAATTGAATGAATCTCAAATGGATTTGGCTTTAAATTATCTGTTACGTTACAGAACTTGTCTAAGAAATGGTTTCAACCTACAAGATTCTCAATTTAATGCACAACAATATTTGAAGTTAGAATCTATTTTATCTTCCAAAAAAAATAGCTTATCCAAAGAAGATTTAGATGCAAATTTAAAATCTATTGAATTAGTATCATCATTGTTGAATAAAAATGTCGAATTTAACAACAAGTTTGATTTGATTAAGCTGCTATCAGCTGAAGAAAAACAGGCATTGAAAAATCAATTATTAGAATCCTTAGGAAAGTATAAAAATGGAATTAATAATAAAGAGGAAAAAGACACAGTTATGAAATTATTCTCTAATGCTTGTGATTTCCTAACACTATCTGAAGAAGTTCATTTGCGTAGACAATACTTGAAGTCTGTCCAACCAGAGAACCCTTCAAACATCGCTACAAAATCAGACAAAAAGGTGATTATAACTAGACGTTTCAATTATGAAAAGCATCGTGTTGATACTATTCCAAGAATTAAAAACTCATTCTTAAAAAGAATGTAAAGTTATTAAAATTAATACGGCATAAATATATACTTGGATATATACTTGTAAATATAAGTTATTAATAAACAGGATAATGATCGTTTAACATATCTTCATTATTATTCATACATATTAATTAATTGAATTGGGAAAAAAAGCTTGATATCCAAAGTTTGTTTTATTCTCTTGATGATGATTTCATTTCATAATTACATTTTTACATAATGAGAATTTAAAACATTCAGATTAGAATGTTATTAAATAAATTTATATTTACTATACAAAAATTTCAAGCAATAAAAGATATCTAACCAGGTGGTAATTGTGTAATGTCGACAATTTCACTTATTTTTGATTCAGCATCTTCATTTTCTTCCTCGACAGACGTCTTCAATGGTGTTCTTGGCAATGCCATCATACCACTTCTTGCACATTCCAATACACCAAATGGTTCAATTAACTTTAAGAAAGCTGAAATACGAGAAGGCTTGGCTGACAATTCAACAACACAACTGCCTTCACTGATATCAACGACTCTACCGCCGAAATTTTTAGCTAAGTTAGTAATATCATTTAAGTGCTCGTGTTTTAATCTTAGAACTTCACTTAATGGTAAATTAGAAGGATGGAAAGTCTTTTCTCTAATCTCAGTGACTAAATTAGTGTCATCAATATTACCAGTAGTTTGATGATGGTGTAATAATAAATCTTCGAAATATTCAGCACCTAATAATGAAACACGAGCCAAAACTAATTCTCTTTTAATGATTTCAGATTTGGTATAATTCAACACAGCATAAACTGGTACTAAATCCTCTATTTGTCTTCTAGCTTGTTCGATGACACCATCTTGACCTTGTAGAACAATAGTCATTCTACTTAAATCTTTAACTTCAGTATTACAAACCACTAAAGAATCGATATTAAAGCCTCTTGCGGCTAGAGTACCAGAAATTCTTGATAGAACACCAGGTTCATTTTGAACCAAACAGTTTAAAACATGTTGAGTTCTTGGTTCTTTTGAAACAGCAGGTGTTTCATATAAAATTGAAGAAACAGCAGTATCAGCACTCCATGATGGAGTCTTTAAAGTTGGTAAAGGTGGAGTTTTAGTATGTTTATGCGATTGCTTATAAGCCAATGCAGATGTTGAGGATGAATTGCAACGAACCAAAGTTCTTTTAATATTATTGTTGAAAACTGATCTAATCATTTTGCCAGCTCTATTCTATTTCATATAAATATATAAAATTAACCCCTCCAAAAAAAATTTGTGCAATATAATATAGAAAGATTTATAATGAAAAGAACAAGGAAATATTGACTAACAGTTCAACTAAACCTAATTCTGATAAATTTAAAATATCTATTGAGTCAACTGTGATAGAAAGCTTGATTCTTAAACACTTTTATTAATCCTGTCTTCTTTCGAAGTTTTTTTGATCTAAAAATCTCCAGGAGCAAAAATATGATTGATTCGATGATGCTATTATGAAATATAGAACCAATAAGAAAATGATATGTTTTAAGTAATAAATTAGTGACTAATATATAGTTAAATAAGTTGTATTTAAGAAAATGAAATAAAATAAAATAAAATAAAATTCAAGAAAATAATCTAGATCAAATCAAACTAAATCAATTCAAAAAAGACCCACCGTAGATTAAAATATGAATCATCAAAGGCTATCAAAACTTTGATTAAAGTAGTCAATAATTAATCTTCGTCTATAAAAACTTCAGATTTGAATAAATTTTCAATAAATTTCAGCCCGTTCTTTCTAATTTCTTACTCTTCCTCTTACTCTTTCTTTAGTTCTTTCTGAATGTAGATGTATGTTGTAATTGTAGGTGTATCCCAATCTGTTCAAGTGCTGTGCTCTCCCATATCCAATTCATAGAAACTAATCATCATTATTTTCAATTTTCATATTATAATTTAATCCAATCCAACTCTAATGTTAATGTTGATATTAATGCTAATGTTAATGTTAATGCTAACGCAATCCAACTTGATCTAATCAGATAAAAGAACGTTATTTCAGTTACAGGATTTTGATTCGTTTAAGTGAGTCATCATCATTGTCTTCGGATAATAATAACCTTTCCTCATGGCAAAATTCTAATGAAATATCATTCCAAGAGGTAGTTTACATTGTTTCATATTTCATATATCTATAAAAGTATATATAACTATATCTATATTTATATAATGCGATAATGATGGAAAAGAAGAATTAGTATATGTTTTGGTAAATTATGATTTAGTTATTTAAATGAGATGCTATTTTTTGGATTAATGCTCTTGTTAAAAATTGAGTTCTAGCTAATTCTCTGGTTTTTTTAACAAAAATATTTAATGTAATTGTCCCATTATTTAACAATTGGGATAACGAGTGCATAGTGTCTGATATTGCATGGTCTTTTGCAACTAAATTGTATAATTGATCTAATGCAATTGAGTTTGTGGTGAGTATTGAACTTGTGTCTATGTTTCCACCATTCTTCATTTCAAAATCTTTTAGATTTTTGTTTTGTTCTTCAACATATTTAAGCTCTGTTGATAATTTGTTCATATTGTTTTCAATAGCATTTTTGGTTTCACTCAATTTTAGTTCTTCTTGTTCATACATATTTCTAAATTGTACTATTGCATTTTCAATTCCTCTCTTACGAACTAATATATTCTCTTTAATAAACCTTAAATCATCTCCTTGTAAATTATTTATCAAAGTTTGAAGTTCTTCTAATAAGTTGGTATGCAGTTCTGTTGAGGCTTTGGAATTTATTTCAACATCTAATAAATCGATTGTACTAGGTACAGGTGGCTTTTCAGGCAAAGCTGGTACTTCGTTCGATGATGTTGAAAGGTCCTTACTTGATTTTGGCTTAACGTTAGTAGAAATAGCAGAATGTTGAATTATTGGTTGCACAGGTTTAGGTGGTAATTGTGGATTCTTGGGAATTATAACAGCTTGTTTTGGAGGTAAAGTTGGAGCTGTACTAACCTTGCCGTTCAAACTCAATTGTGAAAACCCACTTGAATCTACTGATACATCTTTTGCAATTAATTCCCTTGGGAGTTTAGGGGGCAGTCTTATAGGTGCTCCCATATTTGATTTGGCATCAAAATTTACTTGAGATTCTACTTTTAAAGGTTCTATTGGAATGTGTTCTGAACTTTCAGATAAAAATTCTTTTATAACTCTAAAAATGTTACATTGTTGAGAGTCCCATCTATCAAATATTGGTAAATGTACAGCTCCATTTGAATCAACATATCTTCCCATAGATACTTTATATTCAGATAACAACTCTAGGTCGATGTACAAAAGGGGATGTTCATATGGATAATTTTTTGGTATCCAGAGTAATATTGGAATCTTGTTGTTATATATATCAAACTTTCCATATAAACATAATAATAACTGAGGGATACCTTTTGAACTTGTATATACTCTTGTTCTAGGTCTTATTTCTTTGAATTGACTCAGAATCACTAAAGAATCATGAAACACAGTTCTTGGATCATTATATATTGGTTGAACCACATCAAATAACCATTTCATTACAGGAGCTGGTACATCTTTGGTGGCAGCTATTTGGTCTGAAATATCAATTGACATGACGTTATATTTATTAAAATTATGTTATATCCTGTACTAATTCGACTAATAAAAGCTTTAAAGGTTTCCCAAGAATTAACGATACTCAATACGAATTATAATTATTATGAGTTTGCCTTTAAAGTTAACGGATTAATTGAATTTCTATAGGCAAAACTTCCTTTAACGCTAGAAACTGTTTAGTTTTGATGGTATTACCAAGAACTTACTGTGCAATTTTCAAGTTTATCCATCCTTTTTCTAATATATCCTCAATTTATTTTATTGCTTCATACAACAATCTATCGCCATTTATATCGTTCCCTTCCATGAAAATACGATCAATAAGAGACTTAAGCCTTCATTCGCATAAACTGTAAGAAAAGTTCCAGAAGCAGTAGCTAATGAACAATTCACAATTGCTCATCAATTTTACGATTATTATTTTAGTATTTAGAAGAACTAAAATTAAAATAACATATAGTACATTACAAATATCAGTTTATCTGAATAAAGCAAGATTGGATATTGAAAGGAATATAGAAGAGAATTGCGTTTCCTTAATTAACATATTGGAATTAAGAAATTGTACAACTCAACTACACGATCCAACAAATGAAGTTCAATTACGGATGTATCAAAAGTTGTAATTGAACCATTCATTGGCTTTTTCTTCTCCATCGTTAGACCCATTAATCCATAGAAGAAAGGGGAATATGGGGCAGAAATAGGAGTGTGAAAAGAAGATTAATAAATTTGATTAAATTTATTTGATCTGAAATCAGATATAAACTTATACCTCTTATATCATATCAAATAAACATCATGAAGGACTTTCGTTATTACTCTTGAATTGGTGAAAACAGATATATGGATGTGTATGCCATTAACTGAAAATATATAATACCCATAGCTGATTGACCAATACTTTTATTGCGTTCGTTCATTAATTAAACTGACAGAAATGGAATGAACATCAAAAACTTCTTAAGATATATTGGTTCTAAGCCCTGCTTATATACAATTTGGAAAAGAACAAAAATATTTTTGAAAAAAAAATTGTTTGTGCGGGTAAATATTTGATAATTGATAATTAAAATGGAAAGGGCTGGTTGATTCGACTTAATTTATGACATAGTACATCTTAATACTAGTATATATGTACAATTAAAGTTATTAATTAATTAGTTGCTATTAGATTGAATAAAATTTACAAAGAGGGCAAGGTGGTATTCTGCTTATAATTGACATTAGCGACTTCCTTAGCTTCAAGAGATTGCATAGAAAGAAAGAAAAAAGGTACGGTATGCCATTAATTATATCTTGGTAATCTTATATTTAGATGATATTAATGATCTGGGGGTAACAAATTAAGCAATCAACAATCAACAATCGACTGGCTAATGCTAATTTAAAAAAAATATAATAATACAAAGAGTTGATATGAAAAAACCCAAAAAAAGAAGAAACAAAGCACTCACGGTGGGGGTCGAACCCACAATCTTCTGATTAGAAGTCAGACGCGTTGCCATTACGCCACGCGAGCTTAATTTCTTGATTTGGAAATTTTTGAAGTACTATAAGTATTATAATTTTGGTCACGAGAATATATTTTTATATGTCTTAAAATGAATGAAGAAATGAAATTGTAGAGAATCAGAGGGTTGTGGATTCTTTACAGAATCGTTAATAGTAGTAGATTGTTTAGTTGTTTGCAAGGACATTTTTGTAGAGAATTATGTTGTGGTTTTTCTACCGAATCGTTCATAGTAATAGATTCTTTATTTATTTCCAAGGACATTCTTAATAAGTTGATATTGATCCAGTGTATTAAAGTATAAAATATACACATGGGAATATAGTACATATGATAAGTATCAATTAAGATCTCATCATTTCTTATATACAGTGTTGGAAAAGTTTTCAGCGTCAGTAATACTTTCGTGTAAAGTAACATTTCTTTATCCTATATGAATAATGTCGTAATACGTTTATATCACGTGTTACCTCATAATTCTGACACACCTCCGTAAAGACATGTTTTTACGATCTTCTTAACTGATCATCAACATCTTCTTCCTGTCCTTGGATTTTGATTCTCCTAGCTCAGTTATACGAAGAATGTCTCCTGGGTGTAACTTATTTTCCGAGCATTCAAACAATTTCTTGAATTGAATTTGCGTTACTGTTTTTTGTTAAAATGTCAGTAACATTAAATAAACCAGATATTTTTTCTATAGCAGTTACGTTCTTTCGAACTTGTTCTAATAGTTTTTCTAGTTTACGAGCTGTAAATCTATCTTTAGAAAATGGATACTTGATTTATATTCCGAGTCATAGAATGATCAACTATTTAGATATTTTCTTAAGTAATCATTCCATTCTTTCGGACTTTGCTTTAACCATATAAAGCTTTATTTATTTGAACCACCTTCGGTTCATACGGATGTGGTATATATATTCACCTCCTGTAGATCAGCATATAGTAATGCATGATCTATATGTAAGTTTTTTACCACTATCCAGTTGTTGTGTGATGTTAGTCTACACACGTCTCGAATTCAGATACTTCTTCATTCCGAGGTTTTTTCATCAGAGCTTTCACTTGAAGTTAATGATACATATTGAAGTTCGTCTTCAGATACGTCTTGTACAAATAGTTCTTCAATCAGAGGTTCGTCCTCAGAAATTTGATGTGAATTTATAGATTCATATTGAGGTTCGTTCTCAGATATGTCTGGCAAAGATACTGATGCATATTGAGATTCTTCTTCATTTTATGTCAGTTTGAGAATCTTCATTCCGAGGTTCGTCCTCAGGAATATCATATGGAGTTACTTATTCATATTGAAGTTCTTCTTCATATATATGGCAAAGATACTGATGCATATTGAGGTTCGTCCTCATTTTACGTCAGTCTAGATGAAAGATAATGTGATATCAAGTTGTTTGTGCATGATTAAACTGAATTAGTGTGTAATGACATATTGTTGGCTCGATATTGGGCTCTCTTGGCCTACGTAAGATATTCGAAAGAATTTCCAACAATAATGAATTGTCTATTACTATTATATTAAGTCGTATTTGATAATAGCGGTGTCGGCGCAGGTATGAGGAGAGGATATATGCCGCATGCTCATCTTGTAAACCCTGGTTTGCGAATATGAATAAGGTGTGAGTGTAGGTCTTACATTCTGCCTCTTGCTCATCTTTGGAACCTTGTTGATTATCATGCTTAAGGTGCAAGTGAAGGTCTTACATTCTGCCTCTTGCTCGTCTTTGAAACCTTGTTGATTATCATGCTTAAGGTGTGAGTGTAGGTCTTACATTCTGCCTCTTGCTCATCGTTGAAACCTTGTTGCTTATCATACTTAAGGTGTGAGTGTAGGTCTTACATCCTGCCTCTTGCTCATCTTTGAAACCTTGTTGCTTATCATGCCTGAGATATGAGTATAGGTCTTACCTTCTGCCTTATCTCGTCAATCTAAAAACGGCTGAATTTGTCGCGTGGGTGTGAGAGGGTCCTTTTTACCATCTGCCTCAGTTTGTAATAAACCTATCTGTTGTCCTGCTTATTAGTAATATTAATACGCTGTTTAAACGGTTTTTCTAGAGTCAGTGGCACGTTAACTCGAAATTTGCTATTAGCAATCGATTACTTGTTGTATAATTTCTCATTTCGCTCTATACTTCACCTCCTGTGAAGATTATTCATCATTTTACTCTATTATCTATGATTTATGCCATATCTATATCGTCATCATGAACTAGATTTTTTGTCTTCCTTATTATGGTAATCAGGTTGACCTTTTAGTCGAGTTTGTTACAACTCTGACTGTTTTGTTACCGGACTGTTTGTTTTTATTAATCACATTTTTTAGAATAAGGTTATTTGAATTAATCCAAGGGGTTTTATCCACTTTGGATCCTTGATTTGTATAATGTAATTAATCAGGAATTTATAAGCTCTTTCGAGTTTATATCCAGTATCTCCCTGTAAAGTGGCAATAGATAGACTATTTTCACTTTATTTCGGATAATAATAATAGACTTTCGTCTTTATGTATTTTCTCAGATATGAGATTTTATCCTTAATATCTTGTTACTTCTAGATAATTTCCTCGTTTTGAAGTAACAAGAATATTTTGTTAATTCTTCTTCAAGTACTTTCTTGTATCTTGAATAGTAATTTAACGTTACTGTTTCCAGTAAATTTGGGTATCAAATCTTCTTTGAATGAAGTCCTGGCGGGGAAGCCATGTAGAGAATTATGTTGTGTTTTTTCTACCGAATCGTTCATAGTAATAGATTCTTTATTTATTTCCAAGGACATTCTTAATAAGTTGATATTGATCCGGTGTATTAAAGTATATAATATACACATGGGAATATAATTAACATGACAAGTGTCAATTAAGATCTTGTCATTTCTTATATAAAGTGTTGGAAAAGTTTTAACGTCAGAAATAACACTTTCGTGTAAAGTAACATTTCTTTATCCTATATGAATAATGTCGTAATACGTATATATCACGTGTTACCTCATAATTCTGACAAGATGTATATTAGCTATCCATATATAAAGGTTGCTATTTAGAAATTGCTGACATTGGTCATGTGACTTTTTCTTATAAAGCCATATTATCATGTCTCACGAGTGTCTGTCCGAACCGAAAACTCTTCAAGGTATCTTGAAGTATAAAAGAAGAATATATATAGTAATATAACAAGTAACTATGTATAAAACTAAAAGAACGATCCAGTTATCTAGTAACAGAGTGACCACAATGAGCCAACGTAATCCTACAAACCAGTATGGTAGCGCCGCGGTAAACGATCAGAGTGAATAATCATCTTATTCTGATTGCATTGAGATCTTGGAAGAACAGATCCACCAGATCGAACCTAGAAAAAGGAAGATCTGGTTAGACACTAATGTCGAAACTAAAATTAAAATTAAACAAACTAGAGAATTGATGGGTGAGATCAAAGAAATCAGACGACTCATCAAGGATACTAAA